CAGATACAAAATGCATATAAGAGAGGAAGAGAGTAAAACGAAAAACTCAACTAAAGAGATTAAAACGAAATATGGCAGCTACAGAGAGAAAAACGTAAGGAAAAACAAAGAGAAGGAATCAGCTACGTAGTCACATCACAATATCCCTAGTGGCTGCCCTAAAACCCTAAAATAAAACCTACAAGAGTCAAAATGGGCCCCAAGTCAGGTTTGACCTAAAAATTACAATAAAACAGAATACAAAAAATGAAATTAAATGCTGAGGTGGAAAATGGTGCAGTGGTGACATGGCAGATGATGTGGCAGATGACGTGGCAGCTCCACTTGAAGTCCAGAAATTAATTCCAAGCCCAGATAATTATTAAACTGCCCTGAAAATAAAAATTTGGAATAATTAGATTCAGAAAATTCAAATTAGTTAAAATATGAATTACCGGTCCAATTAAAGCCCAAATAGAAAACAGTGCAGATAATCAACAATTAAGCACAAATCAGAGATTAAAATAAGTACAGAAATGTAAGAAAATAGGGGAAAATAATGACTCATTAGTGAACCATGGGTTAGCCTAAGGTTAAGTAAAACCATGGTATGGTTTACTTAACCTTAGGCGCCCAAAATTTGAATTCAAAATTCAAATTTTGGAGCCAAACCCGGAACCACCCATGTGCACCTCATTTGGAATGTAATTTGTCTTCCATTTGAGTTGCATTTCGGTCACACCATGTGCATGTGTGCAAATGGACGAAATGCATACCAAATGCAAAGCTAATTAAATTCTAATGAATTTACACATGCAACCCTAATTAAACCCTAAATTCAAATGACCATAAAATGAAACTCCTAGTCTAAATGGTCGGAAATACAAGGCCTAAAGAAATACAAGCCCTAAGGCCCAAACCTATACTACTCATACTCTACTTGGGCTTGAGTCAAAGCCCAACTAAAAAGTGTGATGGGCTTTCCTTGAGCTTGGGCCCATTCTTCTTGGATCCTCTTTGCCATAGCCCTAGTAGTTGAGCCCTTGGCCCATGGGCCTCCTCCATCACTTGAACAAGGAAAACATAGTAGAACGTGATGGAATAATACTAAGGCCAAGAAGTCCAAGAGGAGATGTATTGAAGGAAGAAAAAGGAATGGGTTAGTGTTGAAAAATCATAGGAGGAGTGAGACCACTTTTGGACCTTAATAAGCACCCTACAACGCCCTAAATCGTTACCCTTATGATGAAACTAGCGCGTTAGAGAATAATAGTTTAAATATTCGGTTTTCTTTATTAATGGTTATTTACATACTTTAAATTTAAATTATGCGATTGACCTTAAGACGTCTACATGGTTGTTTTTATTTATGGCGATAATTTCAACAGATATGATAGGTGATAGAGAAAGACTTTGATGAAATACCTCTTGAACGCGCTTTATAAAATGAGCTTCAATGTGGTAGACTTGAGGCACTATTTGACTGCCTTGCACACTACAATTTGCCTTAAAAATCTCAAGAAATACAAGGAGAGAGGAGAAATAGAATATTTGGACTATTTAAGAGTTCAATTTGGCCTATAAAATCACTCACTGACATAGAAGGTCGAAGTCCAGGAAGTTTCATCTGATCCCCATTTCTCGGGCCCTTGGAATCGGTTTCAGAGCTTGTACTCCCTTCAATTGAAGTACAGTCCATGACTTGTATGTAAAAGAAAAAACATATGAAACAATTAAGCCAAAAAGCACCACATAAATCATGGGACTGACAAATACATTAAAGTAGTTTCAGATATCTAACAACACCCTAAACATGGACTAATAAATAAACTACAAAAATGACCAATCAATCAAAGATAAAGCCAAGTATATAGACAGAAAGTGAATTGAGTAAATCCAAATATTATGCCATTGGAATAGATAGACATGGACCAAATACAAATTTTCCATGATACTAATCAATGAGAACAGTGCCATGTTTGTATCAGATAGTAAGATTCAAAGACAATAAAAAATAACTTCAAATATATCATATAGATGATAGTGTTCAATGAAATAATTTTAAACTAGAAGTAGATAAAACAGCTTAACCGTAAGACTAAACAAATTATTAGTTATATATGTGTTTGTGAAGCCTCTAGTTTAGATGAATGGAAACTAAGCAATGAAATAATCATATAGAATGCATGCACTGAAAATGAGTAATAATCTAATAGAATAAGTTCATAAATGCTCCTTCAACTCCTTTTCACTGATTAGTGAAAGAAAAGTAGAAAACAAAAGATAATGAATAGTGGAATCATGTGATTGGTAACAATGATAATAAATTTTGTTTCATAAGATTCAAAATCATTTGAAATTCATTGAATGATACAAATCAGTAGGTAGGTGATTAAGATTTGTGAATTATAAGATTCTAATAACTGTGGTACAATGTATGAAAGTGTGTGTTTTCTCTCTAAATGTACGTTTCCTTTTGAGGCAGGGATTTGTTCAATTAACACATGAAACAGAAGGGAGCATGAGGCAAGTTCTTATTATAATTTATAAGCACCTGAGCTGGGTGAAGGTGCATCTCGGGGGAGACTATCCAACGTCATTCCAGGAGGATCGTTGTGTTCAATCTTAAATGATGATGAAAGGGATGATTGAGGTGATCCTCTGTCGTGAAAACAAGATGTGGAGGATCCTTTACCACTGACTTGAAGCAGTTCACGATCTTTTGAGTTGTCTGGGTCCTCAAAATTAGAAGGTTGTGTGTCAAAATGTGGTGAATCCAAAATTATCTCTGGCTGTTGGCTTAAGAAATTAAGACGCATATCACACTGGATAAGCTTTTCAAAATGTTTGGCCAACAGCCCTTGTGGGCATTGCAAAAAATGCAACCTACAAAACCATAATAAGATCAAGTATTCAGACATCAGAACCTTGTAAGTAGGACCTAAACACATGGTAAAACCTCATTCAAGATGTACTTTTCTTTTCAAATTAAAGATTAAAAATGTTTCAAAATGTACATAACAAGTTCTATCACTTCTCTGGAGTCAACAAAATACAATGTTCAATGGCAATTAACCTCCCTTTTCTAAAGAATGATTATATTGAAATGCTATAATTCTCTACCTCAACTTTTGATAAATGAATAATACCATCAAACTAGTTAACAGCTGAGCCCACATCCGCATATCAGAGAAAAATGGTGAAAGAATATACCTATGTTTGTTAGACTGTCCATCAGTAAAATCAGCGGTTGCCTGCCATAGTGTATGCTTTCTAGGCTGAGGATTAGTCTCCCTGAAGTAAAGAGGCTGTCTAGCAAGCTGCAACACAGAAATTATACAATAGACCTATGAATCTTAAAGAACTATTCAAGCAGCTAAAATAGAGAGGCATATAACGAATTAAATTACCACAACAGTCAACGTGCTAGGCCCATTATCTGGACAATGAGCTTTAAGTGCCATGATATCAGACCATTGAATCTCTATTTTACTCTTTAGACCGCCTTCAAGAACTTCCCAAACAAGCTTATGCTTCGCAAAGTAACACTTGGCCACCAAATCACCCTCGTATCTTGATTTATACTGCCACGAAGAGAACCTTCAGCTAGTCAACGAAAACACATAGATTTTCCAAACAAAGTATCTCAAACATACCTCCCACGAACCAATCCGCAAAAGCGAAGCCGGGAAGTTTGAAGCTTTAAGCTTGTCCGACACAGCAGCAGCGGCAGCACCCCTGCTCTCCCTTTTGATTCCAGAGCTTAAATCTTCGGTTTGTGGCGCACTTCCTTGAGATAACTTCATCTGAATCAAATCCAACAGCGAAGGGCTCTTCCTGAGGCGCAAACCCAAAGGGCTCGGCTCGTCGAGTATATTCAGATGCGAAGGGGAACTGACAGAAGCATCACTGGAAGCACTCCATTGCTGAAAGATGTGCAAGCACAGGAAGAATAACAAGTTAAAAACAAGACGAATTTCCAACCTCTCTCGTGAACAAAGCGCTTGTTCTATGATTTGTAACCAAATGCTACAATCATTACAATTTGGAAAATTAAAGTTGGGCGATGCAGATGAGATTCTAATGCGGCCTCTGAGAAATGGGAACACAAAAGGAAGAGAGAAGAATAAATGTTTGAAGGCGAGTTAGAGCACATATTGAGCATAAAGGAGGAAGTAAAAACGCGATCTAGCGGTGGAAAGGAAGATAGGTTACGAAATGACCTGAGGGTGAGGGTGAGGCAAAGGCGATGGAGAGGGAAAGGGTTTGCAACGCTTGTTGAGAGGGCCATGCTCTTCTTCCAGTGGGTCCTCAACGATCTCCAACTTGATGGGGTTATTGGTGTCAGCGCACGACGCCGTTTCCGCCTTCGCAGAATTCTTCATCAGCTGAACCATCTGAATTCGAATCCAAGACGAAGAAGGTGTTGGAGATTCCCCAAACCCTAACAATACAAAGGAAGACTAGCGATGGGCTGGGCTTGGAAATGGTCGTTCGTTGAGGGAGAAAAGGCCGTCTAAATCCACGTCTACACTTTCCTTCGTTGCCAAAAACAGATTTATTTAGGTAACTAATATTTATATTTATTTCTCTCGTATTTTCTTTTTTAAATACATGTTTATATTAAATACTCTTTGAAAAAGGCATTTAATAGAAATACACCGTCCCTCTGTATGTCATCTTTTCACTATCAACTTCTATATATTTCTTCATCTTGTATTTTTTTAAATGCATGTATATATTAAAGACTCTCTAACTAATGTAATTAGAATTATTAAGAAAAATGAGGAAATAAGAGGGATAAAAAAGGTAATTACCGGTACAATCAAGGAAAGACATGTGGCAACTCATCCTAATAATCATGATGCAAAAAAAGGCATGAAAATCCACATAATAAATTCTAGGTTGCAAGATCTTGATTGGTTTAGAGTTTAGTATATATTATGTTAGCATAGAATTTATCTCCTAAGTCTTGTTAACATAGAATTTATCTTTTGTGTCTATTTTGTCCTTGTCTTTATTTTTACTATTTTTACCCTTGTATTTTGGGTACCTTAGAGCATCTCCAATGGGGGTTGCTTATAAGCGACCCTCTGTGCCACATCACTGCCAAATCAACTCTGGCCCACTTTATAGGTTGCTTAAATTTTAGCAGAGTTGCTTCTACAAGCAACTCTGCTAAAATTTAAACAACTCATAAAGTGGGCCAGAGTTGATGTGGTAGTGATGTGGCACAGGGAGTTGCTTATAAGCAACCCCCATTGCAGATGCTCTTAGACAGGATTTATTTTACTTGTATTTTCCATTTTACCCTTGTATTTTGGGGTATTTTAGTCATATGATTTATTTTCACTTGTATTTCCTATTTTACCCTTGTATTAAGAGGTGCCTTAGATTATAAGATTTTTATTTTTTGGACTAGGGTATTTATTTAGGGCCTAGACGTATTTTTTTGGTGAGCATTGATCTAGTTTTGGACTTGGAAAGGCTTAGGCCCAAGTGGAGGGCACCTAGGTTGCATGGTCTTATCATGCACCTAGTTGTAGCTTAGCCAAACCCTAAGATTCCATCATTGGCTACCAAGTAGCATCTAGGGTTAATTTGGATTTCATTTGAAGTGCATTTGGCATGCAAATTTCGGCCATACACTCCCAAATGCAGCCCTAGATGCTCCCTCCCCTATAAATACCCTAAACCATGCACCTTGTAAATACTTTGGAATATATTGATATTGAGTGAGCATTTTATGCCTCAACATCTCTTCCTTAGTCACTAGGTTTGATTTGTCTAACCTTCTCTTATCTCCACCATTGGAGAGTAAGAAACCTAGAGTGGCCTCCATCTTCATCTTGGAGTGAGCCAACCTATCTTAAGCATCCACGCTACACGCCTAACCTTCACCCATCCTCACGCCCAAAACTCCATTCACCCTAAAACGTCTCCATCTTTTTTCCTTGGTGAGCCTAGATCCTTGGGCAAAGGTGACCCTCTATAAAGATGCCAATTTCATCCATGGAAGGGAGGTCTCCATCACAACAAGATCAAGATCTGATCAAAAACAGAAGAACATTCAACAAACACTAGACAAGACCTACTACAAGTCAAAACCTTGAAGTATCAAATGAAAAGCCAAAACAGGGCTAAAACTAGGACAAGACAAAAATGGGTAAAACATCAGATGAAACCAGATGGTCAACTTAGATAAAAGAACAGTTAAGGCAAGGTACATCATGAGAATCAGACAAATCAAGAAAACTGAATAGACAAAGTATAATATGTGCACCAGACGATTATGAGTCTAATATCAGACGAAGGTGTGTCAAAGACAACCTCCAGTGCAACATAAGAAATTAAACGAAGCATGAGTCAAAGATCAGAAGAAAGTCAACTACGCACAAGACGAAGGACAACACAGACTGAAAGATATTTCAAATAAAAACAAAGTATGTCCATCTGTAACATTGACCAGATCAAAAGAAAGTCAAAGCATTAAACTTAAATACTTAGGCGAAAATCACAAATTGAGACGCATAAGACTAATAAACGCAGATGAAGATTGTCACGCAAGCACTTAAAGAATCAAGTCTCAAAGGACAAATTAAGGCATTAATGGAATCACACTAAGGCTAAGAAGACCAAGAGGTGATATATTGAAGGAGACAAGAGGAATGGTTTAGTTTTGAAAAACATGAGAGGAGTGGGACTACTTTTGGGCCTTAACTCTTAAGTTTTTATTAGTATAGGATTTATTCCTATTTTTTCCCTTGTCTTTAATTTCCTATTTTACCCTTATATCTTGGGTACCTTAGACATAAGATTTATTTTTCTTGTATTTCCTATTTTACCCTTGTATTTTGGGGTGTCTTAGCCATAGGATTTATTTTTACTTGTATTTCCCATTTTACCCTTGTATTATGGGGTGTCTTAGATTATAGGATTTTATTTTATAACTAGGGTATTTTATTAAGGTTGGAAACTAGACCTAGACATGTTTTTTTGGTGGCATTGGATTTATTTTTGGACTTGGCAAGGCTTGTGGAGGGAACTTAGGTTGCATGGTCTTATCATGCACCTACATGTAGCTTAACCAAACCCAAAGATTCGATCCTTGGCTACCAAGTAGCATCTAGGGTTAATTTAGGTTTCATTTGAAGTGCATTTGGATCGCATTACTTGGCCATGCACTCTCAAATGTAACCCTAAATGCATCATTCCTTCTATAAATACCCTAAGCTAGCCTCCATGTAAATACTTTGGAAATTAATATAGAGTGAGCCTTTTGTGCCTTTATATTTTCCTTAGTCTCTCTTGGTCATTTTCGGCCAAGAACCCTACCTATCTCCACCTTGAGTAAAAACCCTAGAGTACCTCTCAAGCATTCCATCAAACATCTTCTAGCCAACCTCCATTTTCATCTTTTCCTCTATCAAAGACATCAAACTTGAAGAACTTGATCCAAGGAGTTAAGGCTTCCTTCTTATTGGTCATCATCCCTCCACCAATGCTAGTAAGGATGCCATCAGGCATCATCTACGATAACTTAAATGCTCTCAACATGATAGCGTGATAAAAGAAGAAAAAGAAAAACACGCAAAAACAAAAGCATGCATGTGTCAGAAAAAGTACATCACTTTTTAAGATAAGGACAACACTTTACAGCTACGTGATCAGCCACTTCTGGCTCTCAGTGAGTATTGTCGACCAACTCCTGGCCCGTTAACTTCACTCATTGACGCTAATATTCTTTGATCAGCCACTTTTGGCTCTTAGTGAGTATTCTTTAACAAGCCTTTCCAGGCTTTACAAGTATTCTTTCGCTAGCCTCTTCAGGCTTTACATATAATAACTAGACAGGTTTGGTTTGAGTGTTTGGGTTACTCTCACAGAGAGGATACACATGTTTGTACACTCACTAAGGTATGTAACCTTAGTTTTTACAACGATTGAGTGTTTGGTTTACTCTCACAGAGAGGATAAATAAGTTGAATACACTCACTAAGGTTCATGTTCCTAAGATGCACACACGGAACTTTGCTCATCATCTCAAGTTAATGCAAGTTAGGATGTCATCAGAACGTCAGATGAAACTAGATGGTCAACACTGACGAATAAACAATCAAGGCAAGGCACATCATGAGAATTAGACAACTCGAGCTAATAGAATAAACAAAGAATAGTGTGTGCACTAGACGACTATGGATCTAATGTCAAACGAGGGTGTATCAAAAGACAAACTCGAGCGCTATAAGAAGTCAGACGAAGGGAGGTCAAGAATGAAGTCAACAACACATAAGATGAAGGACAACACAAACGGAAAGATACTTCAGACAAAGAACAAATCTATCCATCCATAATGTTGACCAGACCATAGAAGAAGTCAAAACATCAACGTCAAATACTCAGATGAAGAACAAAATGAGAGACGCATGAAATCAAGAGACGCCGATGAAGACAGCCATGAAAACATTTAAAGAATCATGTCTCCAAGGACAACTCAGACATTGTCTACAATCATATAAAAGTTCTCAACATAAGCACGTGATCAAAAAAAAGAAGAAGAAGAAGAAAAGCACGCAAAAGCAAGAGCATGCATGTATTAGAAAAAGTACATTACTTTTTCAGATAAGGTCAACACTCCACAACTATGTGACCAGAAAAGGACAAAAAGGTTCCTAGGTCTCTGCTAAAATTAGACACTGTTGCTACCAAGACAAAGAATACTTCACGCAAGGCCTATCACAAGAAGAAAAATTTAATGCAAGAACTCAAGCATTAAATGAGAAGATTGAACTAGTCATGAACAACTAAATTTACTTCAACGAACACTTGTAATGGGCAGATTCTATAAGATAATATATATATATCACTGTCTCCAAGCTTGGAAGGTTGGCTGTTAGACTCGAAGTGGTTCAAGCGAGAAGAACAGTGATATCCAGCCCATGATGTAACAAAACCAAAGATAGAGCGTATAGAGTCAAATGTACCACAGTGTACTCATCTCTGTAAACTAAGGAGTTCAAAACATTACTCACTAAGGTATGTAACCTTAGTTTTTACAACGATTGAGTGTTTGGTTTACTCTCACAGAGAGGATAAATAAGTTGAATACACTCACTAAGGTTCATGTTCCTAAGATGCACACACGGAACTTCTTAGTCTACAGAGATATTTATACTATGGTACATTTGACTCTATACGTTCTATCTCTGGTTTCGTTGCTTCATGGGCTTGATATCACTCTTCGTCTATTTTTTTTAAAGCCAACCTTTCAAGGTTTGTGGTAGTGATATATATATTGTCCCGTAGAATTTTCCCGTTGCAATTGTCTGTTGAAACAGATATAGTCGTTCATGACTAGTTTGATCTTTCACTCAAGATCTTGCATTAAATGTTGCTTCCTGTTTATAGACATTGCGTGAAGTTTTCTTTGCCTTGTTAGCAGCTATGTCTGTATTTAGCAGAGATCTAGGAACCTTTTTGTCCTTTTTTGGTCACGTAGCTGTAAAGTGTTGTCCTTATCTTAAAAAGTGATGTACTTTTTCTGACACATGCATGCTTTTGTTTTTGCGTGTTTTTCTTTTTCTTCTTTTATCACGCTATCATGTTGAGAGCATTTAAGTTATCGTAGATGATGCCTGATGGCATCCTTACTAGCATTGGTGGAGGGATGATGACCAATAAGAAGGAAGCCTTAACTCCTTGGATCAAGTTCTTCAAGTTTGATGTCTTTGATAGAGGAAAAGATGAAAATGGAGGTTGGCTAGAAGATGTTTGATGGAATGCTTGAGAGGTACTCTAGGGTTTTTACTCAAGGTGGAGATAGGTAGGGTTCTTGGCCGAAAATGACCAAGAGAGACTAAGGAAAATATAAAGGCACAAAAGGCTCACTCTATATTAATTTCCAAAGTATTTACATGGAGGCTAGCTTAGGGTATTTATAGAAGGAATGATGCATTTAGGGTTACATTTGAGAGTGCATGGCCAAGTAATGCGATCCAAATGCACTTCAAATGAAACCTAAATTAACCCTAGATGCTACTTGGTAGCCAAGGATCGAATCTTTGGGTTTGGTTAAGCTACATGTAGGTGCATGATAAGACCATGCAACCTAAGTTCCCTCCACAAGCCTTGCCAAGTCCAAAAATAAATCCAATGCCACCAAAAAAACATGTCTAGGTCTAGTTTCCAACCTTAATAAAATACCCTAGTTATAAAATAAAATCCTATAATCTAAGACACCCCATAATACAAGGGTAAAATGGGAAATACAAGTAAAAATAAATCCTATGGCTAAGACACCCCAAAATACAAGGGTAAAATAGGAAATACAAGAAAAATAAATCTTATGTCTAAGGTACCCAAGATATAAGGGTAAAATAGGAAATTAAAGACAAGGGAAAAAATAGGAATAAATCCTATACTAATAAAAACTTAAGAGTTAAGGCCCAAAAGTAGTCCCACTCCTCTCATGTTTTTCAAAACTAAACCATTCCTCTTGTCTCCTTCAATATATCACCTCTTGGTCTTCTTAGCCTTAGTGTGATTCCATTAATGCCTTAATTTGTCCTTTGAGACTTGATTCTTTAAGTGCTTGCGTGACAATCTTCATCTGCGTTTATTAGTCTTATGCGTCTCAATTTGTGATTTTCGCCTAAGTATTTAAGTTTAATGCTTTGACTTTCTTTTGATCTGGTCAATGTTACAGATGGACATACTTTGTTTTTATTTGAAATATCTTTCAGTCTGTGTTGTCCTTCGTCTTGTGCGTAGTTGACTTTCTTCTGATCTTTGACTCATGCTTCGTTTAATTTCTTATGTTGCACTGGAGGTTGTCTTTGACACACCTTCGTCTGATATTAGACTCATAATCGTCTGGTGCACATATTATACTTTGTCTATTCAGTTTTCTTGATTTGTCTGATTCTCATGATGTACCTTGCCTTAACTGTTCTTTTATCTAAGTTGACCATCTGGTTTCATCTGATGTTTTACCCATTTTTGTCTTGTCCTAGTTTTAGCCCTGTTTTGGCTTTTCATTTGATACTTCAAGGTTTTGACTTGTAGTAGGTCTTGTCTAGTGTTTGTTGAATGTTCTTCTGTTTTTGATCAGATCTTGATCTTGTTGTGATGGAGACCTCCCTTCCATGGATGAAATTGGCATCTTTATAGAGGGTCACCTTTGCCCAAGGATCTAGGCTCACCAAGGAAAAAAGATGGAGACGTTTTAGGGTGAATGGAGTTTTGGGCGTGAGGATGGGTGAAGGTTAGGCGTGTAGCGTGGATGCTTAAGATAGGTTGGCTCACTCCAAGATGAAGATGGAGGCCACTCTAGGTTTCTTACTCTCCAATGGTGGAGATAAGAGAAGGTTAGACAAATCAAACCTAGTGACTAAGGAAGAGATGTTGAGGCATAAAATGCTCACTCAATATCAATATATTCCAAAGTATTTACAAGGTGCATGGTTTAGGGTATTTATAGGGGAGGGAGCATCTAGGGCTGCATTTGGGAGTGTATGGCCGAAATTTGCATGCCAAATGCACTTCAAATGAAATCCAAATTAACCCTAGATGCTACTTGGTAGCCAATGATGGAATCTTAGGGTTTGGCTAAGCTACAACTAGGTGCATGATAAGACCATGCAACCTAGGTGCCCTCCACTTGGGCCTAAGCCTTTCCAAGTCCAAAACTAGATCAATGCTCACCAAAAAAATACGTCTAGGCCCTAAATAAATACCCTAGTCCAAAAAATAAAAATCTTATAATCTAAGGCACCTCTTAATACAAGGGTAAAATAGGAAATACAAGTGAAAATAAATCATATGACTAAAATACCCCAAAATACAAGGGTAAAATGGAAAATACAAGTAAAATAAATCCTGTCTAAGAGCATCTGCAATGGGGGTTGCTTATAAGCAACTCCCTGTGCCACATCACTACCACATCAACTCTGGCCCACTTTATGAGTTGTTTAAATTTTAGCAGAGTTGCTTGTAGAAGCAACTCTGCTAAAATTTAAGCAACCTATAAAGTGGGCCAGAGTTGATTTGGCAGTGATGTGGCACAGAGGGTCGCTTATAAGCAACCCCCATTGGAGATGCTCTAAGGTACCCAAAATACAAGGGTAAAAATAGTAAAAATAAAGACAAGGACAAAATAGACACAAAAGATAAATTCTATGTTAACAAGACTTAGGAGATAAATTCTATGCTAACATAATATATACTAAACTCTAAACCAATCAAGATCTTGCAACCTAGAATTTATTATGTGGATTTTCATGCCTTTTTTTGCATCATGATTATTAGGATGAGTTGCCACATGTCTTTCCTTGATTGTACCGGTAATTACCTTTTTTATCCCTCTTATTTCCTCATTTTTCTTAATAATTCTAATTACATTAGTTAGAGAGTCTTTAATATATACATGCATTTAAAAAAATACAAGATGAAGAAATATATAGAAGTTGATAGTGAAAAGATGACATACAGAGGGACGGTGTATTTCTATTAAATGCCTTTTTCAAAGAGTATTTAATATAAACATGTATTTAAAAAAGAAAATACGAGAGAAATAAATATAAATATTAGTTACCTAAATAAATCTGTTTTTGGCAACGAAGGAAAGTGTAGACGTGGATTTAGACGGCCTTTTCTCCCTCAACGAACGACCATTTCCAAGCCCAGCCCATCGCTAGTCTTCCTTTGTATTGTTAGGGTTTGGGGAATCTCCAACACCTTCTTCGTCTTGGATTCGAATTCAGATGGTTCAGCTGATGAAGAATTCTGCGAAGGCGGAAACGGCGTCGTGCGCTGACACCAATAACCCCATCAAGTTGGAGATCGTTGAGGACCCACTGGAAGAAGAGCATGGCCCTCTCAACAAGCGTTGCAAACCCTTTCCCTCTCCATCGCCTTTGCCTCACCCTCACCCTCAGGTCATTTCGTAACCTATCTTCCTTTCCACCGCTAGATCGCGTTTTTACTTCCTCCTTTATGCTCAATATGTGCTCTAACTCGCCTTCAAACATTTATTCTTCTCTCTTCCTTTTGTGTTCCCATTTCTCAGAGGCCGCATTAGAATCTCATCTGCATCGCCCAACTTTAATTTTCCAAATTGTAATGATTGTAGCATTTGGTTACAAATCATAGAACAAGCGCTTTGTTCACGAGAGAGGTTGGAAATTCGTCTTGTTTTTAACTTGTTATTCTTCCTGTGCTTGCACATCTTTCAGCAATGGAGTGCTTCCAGTGATGCTTCTGTCAGTTCCCCTTCGCATCTGAATATACTCGACGAGCCGAGCCCTTTGGGTTTGCGCCTCAGGAAGAGCCCTTCGCTGTTGGATTTGATTCAGATGAAGTTATCTCAAGGAAGTGCGCCACAAACCGAAGATTTAAGCTCTGGAATCAAAAGGGAGAGCAGGGGTGCTGCCGCTGCTGCTGTGTCGGACAAGCTTAAAGCTTCAAACTTCCCGGCTTCGCTTTTGCGGATTGGTTCGTGGGAGGTATGTTTGAGATACTTTGTTTGGAAAATCTATGTGTTTTCGTTGACTAGCTGAAGGTTCTCTTCGTGGCAGTATAAATCAAGATACGAGGGTGATTTGGTGGCCAAGTGTTACTTGGGTTACATGAGGATCTTATCCCTACCTTTAGAGAGTCTAGTTTCATTAGTATAACTTTCTTTGCTAAGATTAATAGAAGGATTCCTCTTAGAGTACAATCCCCATTTCCACCATTTGAACATATCACCTCTTATACATGGTATTTTGTTAATGTAGGTAATGAAATCTATCATAGAGACCCTCGTGATTTAAGGACAAATCTTTTTCAAAAGGGAGGGGATGATGGAATCATGCCTAGGAGGGCAAGAGGTGACACATTGAAGGATCTAAGAGAAATGGGCTAGACATGAAGATTTGGGCAAGTAAGAGCCCAATGGGCCCGGTGGGCTTAGAAAGCCCAAGTTGCTACTCACATGGGTCATACCCTGAGATACCCATTTTCTTCTATTTTGTATATGAAGTTAGATGAAATACATATAGAAGGGAGGGTTGAATATGTGTGTGTGTGAACAAAGGAATTTTAAAAACATTTTTGCAAGAAGGCTCTTTTTCGTCCAGTAAAATAATATTAGTAAATGCTAAACTAGAACGGTCTAGGATTGGTTTAACAAAATAATTTTGCGTCTGGGAGTTTTATCGTCTGCTTAGGCAAAATACTTCTTAAACGAAAATCGTTCTTTAAGATAACAAATTAAACAAGTGTGGTTTTCGTCTGAAGATAGTTTTAATAGACGATAAGCATTAGACGAAGATTTTAGTATATTAAACCAGAAAATGCGTTTGAAACATTAAAGCATAGTGTAAGTATTTTTATACTGGTTCACTCAAATTGAGCTACGTCAAGTCTCCTTCAAATGAAGGGCTCCACTAGATGTTCAATGAAGTACAAGTATTGTTTGTTCAGCCTCTTTAGGCTCGCGGTGAGTATTATAGACCACCTAGGTCACGACCACTCCTTGTTGGCTAACTTTACTCATTGGCTCTAGTATTCTTTAATCAGCCTCTTCAGGCTAGCAATGAGTATTCTAGACCACCCAGGTCACGACCACTCCTGGTCCCAAGTATTATCAACCTTTCCTGGCTCGTCAACTTCACTTGCTGACGCTAGTATTCTTTGATCAGCCACTTCTGGCTCTTAATGAGTGTTATCGACCACCTCCTGGCCCGCTAACTTCACCATTAGCGCTAGTATTATTTGATCAGCCACTTCTGGCTCTCAGTGAGTATTGTCGACCAACTCCTGGCCCGTTAACTTCACTCATTGACGCTAATATTCTTTGATCAGCCACTTTTGGCTCTTAGTGAGTATTCTTTAACAAGCCTTTCCAGGCTTTACAAGTATTCTTTCGCTAGCCTCTTCAGGCTTTACATATAATAACTAGACAGGTTTGGTTTGAGTGTTTGGGTTACTCTCACAGAGAGGATACACATGTTTGTACACTCACTAAGGTATGTAACCTTAGTTTTTACAACGATTGAGTGTTTGGTTTACTCTCACAGAGAGGATAAATAAGTTGAATACACTCACTAAGGTTCATGTTCCTAAGATGCACACACGGAACTTCTTAGTCTACAGAGATATTTATACTATGGTACATTTGACTCTATACGTTCTATCTCTGGTTTCGTTGCTTCATGGGCTTGATATCACTCTTCGTCTATTTTTTTTAAAGCCAACCTTTCAAGGTTTGTGGTAGTGATATATATATTGTCCCGTAGAATTTTCCCGTTGCAATTGTCTGTTGAAACAGATATAGTCGTTCATGACTAGTTTGATCTTTCACTCAAGATCTTGCATTAAATGTTGCTTCCTGTTTATAGACATTGCGTGAAGTTTTCTTTGCCTTGTTAGCAGCTATGTCTGTATTTAGCAGAGATCTAGGAACCTTTTTGTCCTTTTTTGGTCACGTAGCTGTAAAGTGTTGTCCTTATCTTAAAAAGTGATGTACTTTTTCTGACACATGCATGCTTTTGTTTTTGCGTGTTTTTCTTTTTCTTCTTTTATCACGCTATCATGTTGAGAGCATTTAAGTTATCGTAGATGATGCCTGATGGCATCCTTACTAGCATTGGTGGAGGGATGATGACCAATAAGAAGGAAGCCTTAACTCCTTGGATCAAGTTCTTCAAGTTTGATGTCTTTGATAGAGAGAT